ATGTTTATATAGTTGATGAGACTATTTTTGAATTAATTAGTAAATATCTACATTTTACATATATTTAAAGTCATATACAAAAGATGATCATGGTTCTTTTTTTTTAATTTACCGAAATCGATGTCATGTGTCTTACCTTAATGAATCTACATGACTACGGTTCGTTGTCTGGGCTGAACTACACCGTCATCAATGTAGTGATCAAACTTGAGAAATCAAAGTAGGTGGTACCTAGATGTCCCAACCGCGTGCCACGACCTTTAGAAGATTAAAAAACCAACTTTTAATTCTTGTTAATAATTTATGAAAAGTTTAATTTACTTTTTCCTTAAGTAGTTTTTTTTAAAAAGGATCAAAATAAGATTTAAATCGAGTCTATTTTATTTGACAACAAAATTAAGAAACAAATTTGAAATTTTTTTTTACTAGTACCAAACCAGATAAAAATAGATCAAAACCAATTGAATTGAACTTATTCAATTAGAGTTATTTCGTGAAAAATCCCTACTTCTACTCCCTTCTCTTTTAACTTGTTGTCTTGTTAATAAAAGTGGAAATCTTTTCCATGAGTTATATTCATCTATCTAGGGCTTTAATTTCACCAAAATAGGCTTTTTCTACTTTGGAACTCAAAAGAAATAAAAAGATGTTTTCCCCTTTTTATTTTGTATTTTTTCTATACATAATTTTGACTTTATGGTAAAATGGATCAATACAATCTAGAAATGTGTTAAAAGTTTATTTTCATAGTGTCTCGTGTTTTTATGCAAGAATTAGAATTTTCTATACATATATATAACTCTTAACTCTCTTCTTTCTATTTCAAACTTTTACAAATAGTACACCAAAATCATCACAAATCAGCCATGGTATGATGTCAATGGAAGATCATGACTCTTCTAAAGATGACAATAGATACTTTTCTTTTATCATCTTCAGAAAAAAAAATAATAAGTTATTTAATGTAACAATGAATTTTGTTGATTATTGTTTGTCTCATAACTATTTATTGTAATATATGACAAATTTTTAGGGGGAAGAGAGAGTATAAAAAAGACAATTTTTAAAAACAAACTAAAACATGGGATGAGGAAAGGAAAAAAAAAGATTTAAAAAAAAATTTAATTATTATTATTTTTGTTTTTGTTAAATTCTTACAGAAGAACGCATTATAAGGCGATATTCTCGCGGGGGCCAAAGGGTATTATATTATTCTCCCTTAGAGAGAGAGAGAGAGAGCGCCCACACATGCTTTCAAATCTCTCGCACGTGTGAAAGTGACATGTCAAAAAGAGCAGCAGTGTAAGCGACACGGTCAATGACACACCGGCCAGCGTCACAGCCAATGAGCGTCGAGAACGCAAAAGCAAACGATGCAAAAAAGAATAGAGAGCGAGACAATCGAGGGCCTTTATTAATTTTTAATTTTTGTTATTTTATAATATGGAAATCATTTTGCAATCCATTGCTTTATGATTGACGCCTCGCTGACCGCCCTGTCACTCTAGCATCAGTGTCGCCCCTTTGTCCTTTCCACATTTCTTTCGGGCAGCTCGGGCACTCGAACCGGATTGCGACCATTCCTTCTTAGTCCTGTCCTTTCGGGCAGTCATTTCCTTTTCTACCCGGCATTCAAGGCGGGCTATTTATTTCTTTTTTATTTATTTATATTATTTTCATTTCTCTCTCTCTCTCTCTTTCTTTTTTTTTTAACTGCATTTTGGGATGTTTAAAATATGTAATTACTTTAGTACTACTCCCCTTCTATTTTTTTTTTATCCTTTGGTACTATTCATGTTATTTTATTTCTAGACCAGACACAACACGACAATAGAATTAAATGCATACTGAGTACATTATCGACGAAATTTGTTAAATATAAAAATAATTATTTTTTTTTACATTGGTTGACCTTCTTGAAAGGATACTTTTTTTATAGTTCAATAATTTTTTTTGGGCTGGAGGAAGTCAGCTCGTGTCATTCTCAAAATTATGCGTGGATGGACTATTGAATCATGTAAGACTTTTTTCAGCATTAAAAAACGACGCTAGATGGTTGAGAGATCGAAAAAAGTAGCTAAATAAGGAAAACAATTCCTCGCTAATAAATGAGTTGGCGTACGTGTTGCAGATGCAGAGGAGATGGTGGAACGAAATAGAGGAAAAATGTAGGCAAAAAGTTCCTCCATCGAAAAGGATATATTACTACTAAATCAACTCTAATTTGTTTTATATATCACTTTAAATCTATATAAGCTATTAAATTTTAAATTTTAATAAAAATTGTGTAAATTTAGGGAATATAATTTTGATAGTTTCTTTTTCCCTGTAATAAATGTGTTAAAACATGTAATGCATGAATTTTTTCTTAATGTTAATTTTTAATAGAAAAAGAGAGAGTAGGACGTGACTTGTGCTTTATGTCTCTTATTTCTCTACAGAACATCCTCAATTCAGTGGCAGATTGATGCTATTTTTGTAATTTCATTTCAATTTCTAATCTCTTCTTTAATTTTCACTTTTTTAATTTGGGCAAATTTCTTTTAATTCCAACTAAAATTAAGTTCTAAAAGCTATCTCCAACTCATTAAAAGTACTTTGAAATGCAAATTAAAACGAATAAATTAACGAGCTAGATAAAAATAGTTATTAAGTTAATTTTTTTAAGACAAAAAACTCATTGAGGACTGATTTGAAAATCCCAAAAACATGAGGGGTGGAGGAAGAAAAATGTAAGTTGTCAGAACCTGTGACACTCTGACACTGACACAGAATTTTTAAATAAAATGGGAATGGAAAAGAAAATAAAAAAATAATATATCATATTAGAAAAAGGTTATTTTTTTATCCCAAAGTCTGCAGTGAATCATTCATTCATAATGACTAGCTTTTGGAAATGCATAGTATGAAAAGAGGATGCATGATGTGACATGTGCTGAATTGTATATATTATCACTGCTCTGCTCTCTGATTTCTGCCACTCCTCATCTATTTGGGTCCCACCTCTTTTTCATTTTCCCCCACACAAAATTATTTATAATTCCTACCCCTAACATTGCATCCATTAATTACTTAATTATTAAATTATTATTATTTTGAGTTAACAAATGACAGGGTAGGGAGGTACATACGTAGCTATACTTAGATTTACATTTTTATTACTGACATACTTAGTTTAAGGAGCCGAATTTGTTAATTTGAATATAATTTATAGTGGATAAGGTATTTATTACCTTTTTAAAATTGAAGATTTAAATTACCACATTGTATTTGTTGAAATATAAAAAAAAATGGTCCAATTTGATATCAAAATTCTAAATTCATCTATCAAACTATAAATTTAAGTGGCACTATGCAAGATTTTCAGGTCTTACTGACGCGAAGAATAGTCGGGAAATTTTTTAAAAGCGTTGGAAAATTTTCTACATTTTTGGTAAAAGCTAATACACTCCTGAGCTTGAGCATATTTCTAGTCAATTGATTTGGTGGATGCATATATTGATTCAGTAATGTCGGAGTGAAACTCAAACATTCGACCTTTAAAACAAATGTAATTACCATGTTTTTATATGATTTATTGGTTAGTTTGCGAGTCCGTTTTCTAATTTAGTTTCGAGAATGATATCAATTTTACTACTATTAAACTATAATTAAATTAAGTACGAAAATTAAACAATGATAGGATTTAGATATATTTTTTGGTGTCTAAACTTTGACATTATTTTATTGGTCTTTAATTACACTTTTAAATATCTTGGTTTTTGGTCCATGAATATTACATGAAAAATAGTATAATTATTAGTTTTGGGTTTTTTTTTTTGTTGCATTTAACAAAAAATTCATATGATATAACATAAAATTTGGGGCTGATTAGGGTTTAACATGAAAATTAATGAAAATAGAACAAATACAAGAAAAATAATTATATCAATCTATTTCACTATATATAGGGTATAAAATTATTTCTCATGCATCTACTTCATCTCGTACTACCATCTAACAAATACAACAACTTCTATTATCAAATGTCGTTGTCCGACAGTATGTTCTCGATTAATCTGGACCATCAACTTTTATAGTCGTAGCAGGATTTTCCGGTAATAGAAAGATCTGTGAAACGAGATTTTATGAAAGAAGAAAAAAGAAAATAAAATTGTTTAAGCGATAGATAATCCACATTAAAGGGACCATGGGCCACCATTGACATTCAATAAAATGCCAAGCATTATGGGGCCATGCCCATTTGTGGTAAAAATTGCTTTAAAAATTTTGGAAAAAATAAAGTTAATTTCAAACTTTCTACCAACAAAAAATAAAATAAAATAGCCCATCCACGTGACATATGGAAAGTTAATTGCAAATCAACCTTCTATTTTTCAAAATTTTAATATTATTTTTATAAACATGAAAGCAACAATACCTTGTTTCCATTTTCGTATCAAACAACTTTTTAAATTTGTTATTTAAAAAATAGAGTACTTTTTTAAGAATAGTAAAGTAACGATTTAGTCCCTCAACTTTAATTTATAATGATTTAGTTTCTATACTTTTAAATTTATTACAATTTAGTCTCTTAAATTTAGAATGTAACAATTTCGTCCCTTTAGTTTAAAATTTGTAACAATTTAGTCCCTAATATGTGGATGGATAAAATAACGGACTAAATATACTGCAAAGCCTCAACTCTAACATAATAAAAATCTAACACTTAATTTTGATGAGATTTTTCAACTAAAAGTGTTTTTTTAACAGAAAGAGATGAATTATAAAATAATAAGTAAAAAAACTAAATGGCCCATTAGTGATCCAGCTATGTGTTTCATGTTGGGCCGAACATAAAGAGAATTGGGCCTTTTCTTGAGACAAATTAAATTGGGCCTTAAAATCCGTCGTTAAGCCCACATTAGGAATACTAAGTTTTGGGCTCATTTTAGGCCCAACATCAAATTTCAAGGAATCTGGCCACTGCCGGCCGCTCCCGCCTTCTTCAATCTCCTTATCCAGTTTTTTTCCCTTTCCTTCGTGCGAAGCTCTAATGGCTTCGACTAGTTTCACCACTGCTCTGTGCTTCTTCTCCCAAAACCCTATAAAAAACCTCGAGTTCTCTTCTCCGATCCTCTTCTCTATCACCAATGGCGTCGAATTCGCTTCCAATTCTATCGCTCTCACTTCCAGCGCCGGCCTCTCTCCTGCAACTTCTCGGTTCAGTTCTCGTTTCGCTCGCAATTGCTCCTCCAGCACCACTCCAGTACGCACTTTGGATTACGAGGTACTTCTTCTTTTGCGATTCTCTCTGTTTAGTTGCATGGAAAATCTAGGATTCTTTGTCGTTGAGGTACTCCGAAGTCTGTACTAGGTACCTTCAAAAGTTTTAGAGGTATTTCTCGAATAACGTTTTGCATTGCCTTCCAACAGCGAGAAGGATTGTATCATCAAAATTTACAAATGAAGAGAAATTTGCATTGTCTTTCCCATTCGTTATCCTTATAGACGACATATTTGATGAACAGACGTTGAGGAATTAGAGGTTACTGAGGCGAAGTTTTGTATGTAGAGGCATTGTGGACGCTGTGGTGAAAATTTGTTGTATGATGTGTTGAAGACATGTAAATAGTTATTGGCAATGAATAATCCACTTACATCAATTTAATGCATATTATATTTGAAAAAAATTGGTTCGTTTATCCTCTAATTATCTAACCCCCTAGGATAACATAAAAAATGGCAGAAAGAATCATAATAGTTGTTTTGCAAGCATGTCTTGTGGCCATTAGATAATGACTTCTTACATAATATAAGCATTAGCTCTTTATGTTTCATGCTTAAACCCAATAAAGACGAGTCTCTTATTCACGGAGTATTTGGAGTTGTATTTTCTTTGCTCACCAGTCTTTCACCTTCCAACTTACTGGATTAATTTTCATGCAGTTCACCGATGGTTCTTCTGAAGTGGAACTGAGGTTACAACTTGGGACTCAAGAAATTCGTAGTTCAAAAGATATTTTTGTGGATGCAAATGAAACCTCTTTGACAATTAGAGTACAACGCACGGGGTCTATCATCACTCTTTTGGAAACGAAGCAACTATTTGAGAAGATAAAACCTTCAGAAACAATATGGTTTGTCTTTGTCATGGTAGATAACCTGCTACAACCGGTATGAATTTTCATGTCTAAACATAACATTTCTTATGTTGAACAGGTATATAGATGAAGATCAACTAGTTATAAATTTAAAGAAGCATGATTCAGACTTGAAATGGCCTGACATTGTGGAGTCTTGGGAATCCCTAACAGCAGGATCTACACAGCTTCTAAAAGGAACATCCATATATTTGATAGGGGATTCAACAGACATTAACCAAAAAGTTGCGCATGAACTAGCAGTTGGACTTGGGTATGGTGTTTCTATGTCTTGGGGTCATTTCCATTTTACAATATTGGTTGTCGTCAGTTTCCAGTTTATTTAAAACGACTGATTTTATGGTTTTCAGGTAGTGTATATTAACTGAATTGTGGCCTTCGTACCATACATGATATTAACTGAATTGTGGCCTTCCTTTGACTAATGCTCTTTTGAAATTACATTTGCATGCACTTGCATCTAATGTTATGTTTCCTCCCCCGCTTTCGTATCTACTTTAACAAGGCAATTATTTTATCTCAATATAGGACCTACTTTATCAGTTATCTTAAGCAAGCCAAAAATTAATTTCCACTTTTTAATTATTAACATCGAAGCTGATGAATCTATGCCCTTTCTAGAATTCTTCCTGCTAATTTTGTAAAACTTTCATCTGATAACTTTGATTTGTGTGATTCTCAGGTATACTCCATTGAGTACAAAAGAATTGCTGGAAACATTTTCCAAGCAGACCATTGATTCATGTAAGTACTATACTATTTACAACAAACATGGTTTATGCCATGAGCGCCTGTCAGGCTTATATACTTTTTCCCCTTTCAGTATTTAGGATTTTTAGAGATAGACGGCTGATTCCTTTGTCTACTAACAATTCAATAATATGGCCTATGTTGATTCTGAGATCAGACGTGCCATATACCTTTTACTTTTATATCGATTGAAAAAGAAAAATGGAAGACCCTCACAAAAGAATGTGAGCCGCCAAGCCAAGAGGGAAGCAAAAAAATGTACACACTAGATCTCCAACTTTTGGTAATAAAACATGAATGGTAGTCACAAAGTAAATTTGATTCAAGAGTCCAGAGGTAAGCGTTGAAGTGCATCAGTCCCGGATTCCCCATATAGCTTCCATCAAACTAAGTACCCCCAAAGATGTTTTCGTTCTCCTTTCCCACTATTTAAACCACTATTGTTGAAGAAGAAACCAAAACTCTGCCAAAAGTGATCCTACTCTCTAGACGTGAAAGGGCCCATAAAATATGATTCAATTTAGTACCATGCTCCTACACAAAAGCATCAGTTTGGATCAAGGACAAAAGAGAAGGCTCTCTGCAAAATGTATATGTTATTGATTCTGCAAAGAGCCGCAACTTGTTTGAGATTAAGGATCCTGACAATTTGAGAGACTAAAGACAATGGTCACTATATTTTTTGGTGGAAACTATCAATTGACGGTAAAAGGGAGACTACCTCCTCGATCTGACAATCCCAAAGTGCCCTATAAATGATAGACGAGACTAGAAGATTTTTGGAGATGGCTATTGTGTAAATCAAAGGGTACTGCAACTAATGGGAACTAATACGGATCCAACAATCCTGCGAAAACTGGATTCTTCTACCATCCTCTAAAGAAAAGTTAATGAAAGGGAGGAAACTTGGGAGAGAGGGAAATCACCTTCCAAGGACCTGAGAGTGCCCTTGGAAACTACCAGCACCTTAGCTGTGAGGATGAAACTTTGCTTGCAATTATCTAATGCAACAAAGCCTAAGGTTTTGAAGGGAACCTCCACAACCATTTTGAGAGAATGACTAGATTCTTGTTGCTTAAAATTTTCATTCCTAACCTCAGCCTCACAAGTTTTCAACACAGTGTTCCAATTCCCTAAGTGTGATCCACTCCTTCCCTATGAATCTTCGCATAAGAAATCTCTCATGTCCATTTTTAACCCGTCCTTAACTAATCCAAGAATTTTGAAGAGGAAGGAAATACAAAAAGATACTTCTAAGCACACTTAACTAAGGTGAGTGTTTCCCTTTTTGAGACGAAAGCTTTCCTCCAAGATGAAAGTCTCTATTGAATGTTCTCTATCAATCATTGGGTCCAGAAAGAGTTGACTATAGGATCATGGGATTGGGAATCCTAGATTAGTTAATCTTCGTCACAAATGATCCTGAAAAAACATAGCACTTCTCTCTATTAACTCATAGACAACATTAACTAGAACTTGCATGTTAATTAGATTTCGGAAAGACCCTTCATTCCTTGCACAAAAGAAGATAATGTCACTAGCAAACTTTACAGGGAGAGAGACGAATGTTATCCTGGTCAATCTTAAAGCCCTCGAAGCCCCCTGTCTCCATCCCCTTGTTAGGAACTGACTTAGAACATCAGCCACATTTATGAATGAAAAGGGAGAAAAAGGATCCGTCTCCGCTAGTTGCAAAAGGATTTTCCCTTGGTTTGCCATTAATTAAAGTCGATAAAGTAGTTGATCGTAAACGATTTCCCACATCCATTCTCCATTTGAAACCATTTTTTCCACAAAATTCCTAACTCATGTGGACGTAAGCCTTCTCGAAGTTTATCTTTAAAATGAAACTTCATTCTTAATCTGAATATTTTAGGGCCTCACCATCTATTTTAACTTGAGAATTTTGATAGGCCTAAGCCTCAATTTTATTTATCAACAATCAAGGGAGTTTAGAGAGCTCCCTGCCTCTCCCAAGTTCTCCGCAGAGAATTAATACCCTCCCTCACTACTCTTTCCCTTAGATATACCTATATGCATAACTAACAAATATTCTCTCAGGCCCACCCAAAGGTGCGTAATGCACCCGTTCAAACCGTCTCCCTCTTTCTCACTCGCTTACGTTGATACACTTTAGTAATATGGGGCAGACTCATAAATAGTAACAAATCTCAAGTTGTAATCTTCCTATCATTTCCGGGAATCTTTTCCTTCTACCATACTAAAAATCAACAGATTGTACTTCAGAGAGTAGGTTCCATCAGCAGTTAATTATAATTACTACAGTATTACAATTTAATTGCCAGCATTTCCCCTATGCTAACATCTAAGTTCCTATGATTTACAACTTCACCTTCAGATTTGATAGTTCTAACTCAGACTTGAGAAGCAAAATTGCGATACATACTTGAAATGACTTTTATTCCCGATTTTGCAGTTTGTTAACGACTGTAATCAATTCCAGGGATGCTTGCTGAAGGCTCTAATGCTGTAGCCCAAGCAGAAACCGCTGTATTAGAAAGTTTAAGTAGGTATGTCTAAAACTCGCCTTAATCTTCATGAATTTGGTTGATTATTAAAAAATGGAGGAAGAATATTCTTTTTCCTGCTGATTATGCAGCCATGTCCGTGCTGTTGTTGCAACACTAGGAGGTGAGCAGGGAGCTGCAGGTAGAACCGATGCTTGGAGACATCTTTATGCAGGATTCACTGTTTGGCTTTCACAAACTGAGGCTAAGGGTAAACATTCTTACATAGTTGCTGTTCCACTTCCATTTAATTCCAAAACGATCGTACCTATTTAGATTTTAGCGTTTCTTTTCCAAGTTAATGAAAATCCCATTTGAAATTTTTGACCGTGCAAACTTAAACTTTGGACACTGAGGCTCAAAGAGAAACATGATATCTAACAAGATCCTAAGCCACCTCCCAGGAACGTACCTCTCAACCCCTCTTATAATAATGGTCCTTGTTGTTCCTCTCAATCCACAACCCTCACAAATATAGCTAAAAAGCCCGCCCCCACAGAAAAACGGCCTTTATTCCCTAGATGGAGGATGAAGAAGATGCAAATTTCAATGAATATTCACTTGGAAATTTCCATGGTGGTTTTAAATGCAGATGAAAGTGCAGCTAAGGAAGAAGCTAGGAGACATATGCAAGACAGTAAAGTAGCGTACTCAAACGCCGAAGTTGTTGTTAAACTTCAGGGTTGGGACGATGCTCATTCCAAAGCAGTGGCTCAGGCAGCGTTAAGTGCCCTTAAACAACTTACTCTGTCAGACAAAAACCTTCCAGGTATACTTTGTTTACACGCAATAGCATTTTGCTGATACGGTCTAAGAATAATTGATCATCATGCTTCTCGTTCTTGGGGCTGCTGCTCGTCTTTAAGATTTGCAATTTATTTCATGCTTTTAACCAGATATTCGAATTTACTACAAAAAGTTTTTATCTCAGAGCTATTTGTGGGTTATTCTTGAATTTTATATACATTGCATTTTGTGATTTGTGTATTAGATTTGGATTTAGAAATTTGGTGTACCATGTTGTTGTAGAGAAGAAAAGTCTTTACATCCGATTGGGATGTCGCGGTGATTGGCCAAACATCAAACCTCCTGGTTGGGATCCTGCAGCTGATGACGCTACTGCCTGAGTACTTTTTTTACTACTGAAGGTTCAATCTCTTATCTCACATTTGTTACACTCCTAGGAAAAGAAATTTTATTTCCACTCTCAATCCTACCTTGCTAAAAAAATTTAACGGTTATGTTCAACCTGTAATTTAGCTGACAGATTGGAGGTAATCAAATCCCATCTTGTATTCTGTATATATATTTTATTATTCTTTAGGGAGAATCAAGTTATGAATTTTATTCCTCAAAAAGAAAAAAAATTATGAATCTTAAGCCCCTTTTGATAACAATTTTAACTAATTTACTTTTGGTTTTTAAAAATTGAGCTGGTATCAAAAGGACCTTAAAATTCATAATTAAAAAAAAAAAAATTCATGCATAAGGGTTGCCCGTTTGAGAGATGCAAAGTGAGACTGAAATACAAGGACTGATAAAACAGCCTAGTGTATAAGAACGAAAATTTACAAGAACAATATTCAAGAAAATAACAAACAATAAGAGTATATTCCGTTCCCTTTTATTGGGGGACGTGATAGACAAGATGGTTATGGTTGTTCTGACAGGTGGTTATGGTTGCGGACCATTGCAATAGGTCGGTCAGGTGCTCTAGACAAGATTCTTATGTTCCTCTCGAGTCTCATAGGTCGACATGAGTTAGGTCGGTATGTGTACTTTGTTCTTGGCATGAGTTAGACGTGAACCAAACTCATAGATCCCGCGATCCACCCAACAGCACGCAATTTCTATCTCCAACAACATACTTGTAACGAAACAATCGACGACACCAGATTTGCAACGACATCACGAGACTCACACGACGATAGCAATCCCAACTCAACTCCCCTCTATGCGACATCACGAGACTCATGCAAGTTCTATTTTAATAATTTAAATTTCAAAAATAATTATTTTAATTGTTGTTTTATTATTTTGCCACTTGATATTTGCTTACCTAATGCTCATCTTCAACTAGAGTAGTTTCAATACATGCTCGTATTAAGACGTTAATAGAGTAGTTTCAATACACGCTCGTATTAAGACGTTAATACAAATAGTAGAAATATTGTTTACAAATTATTGGAAAAAAAATAAAGATAAAGACAAATGATTTTTTTTATTTTTAATTTAGGGATTAAAATAGTTTTTCTGAAAGTTTAATGGTGAAAATTAAACAAATCTCAACTTAGATCAAATGAGCTTTTGAAATTTTAGAAACTATAATAAATCATGAAATTTCATAAATAAAAATGAGATTTAAACTTTTTTTTTATAAGCCTTTATATCTATTGAGTCCTTTCCAAATGTATTTTGATTTTATTTTTTAAGATAACTATTTTTGTTCTTGTCATGATTTTACCATTAATTATTTAACATACGGTTGTGATAGGTATTGAGTGAGTAGATTTTAAGTTGGAGAATAATAACGAATATAACTATGATTTTTTTTAGAGAATATATAGAAGTTTACAAACAAGATAAAATAAATTTGAAAGTTTATGGACTAGAACCACATTTTTAGAGTTAGAATTAAAATGGAACAAAATTTTGGAAGATTTGGAGACCATTTGTTTTACATTGCTGACTTTCATTTATATTGAGCAACTAAATTTTTTTCTTTATTTCTTCTTAGTTAGTGCGGTCGAGAAATTTGAATTTATGACCTTTTGATTAGAGACAGATATCAATTATCACTGAGTTAAACTTATCATTAAACTACTGTTAAGCAGAAAAAACTAAAATAATTTTTTTTTGTTTAATTTACTATTTTAGCCTAATGATTTGGGGTTACTTAAATTTGGTCTTTTATTTGTTATTTTCATATTTTTATTATAATTTTTATGGACTAGTTAAAAATTTCAAAATATTGTTCAGTTAAAATTTTCTCCATCAATTTGTTAGCCACTAAAATTTAAATTTGCCTTTTTTTTTCTTTTTAATTGAACCGTTTTTTCGATTATATTATATGCCCTCCAATTTGTTAAATTTGGACCTATAAGAAAGTTACTTGTGCAATTTTCCAGTAAGGAAATGTTGAAGGTGTGTTTAGTAATATTTGTGAACTTTGACCCAAAAACTAAATTGAATATGTTAGGGTTTAGTTGGAAATTCCGATTCTGTTTTTTGTTTTCATATTTACTGAATCAAATGGATCCAGCGAATATGGCAGGATTTTGGATATTTGTTTTTGAAAACTGTTTTCGAATTCTGTGATTTAAACAGTAGAAATTCTGGAAAACGATTTTTTTATGTTTTCGTTTTCAGATTCAAAATTTGAAATTTTGAAGATGCAGAATTACATTAAAAATGATAAAACTTTGATAAATATATTAGTTCATATTATAAACTCATTTTATGGTTGTTAAAATTAAAACAGGTAAAATATAATGTATTCTAAATTATATAACCTTGTAAAATAACAATTATATAAAATTCATAAAAAAATGTTAATAAATTAATTAATATAAGTTTAGATCAAACTAAAATTTAGTTTGCAATTTACAAATATATTACTAAACACAAATTCAACAATTTTTTAAATTGAGATTCAATTATCAAATCTGGTTTTTATTGAATCCCTTCTTTTCAAATTATTACCAACCAAACGCACCCTTAACATTCCTGGAATTAAATTAAAAGTAATAAAATTATATGAACCAAATTGAAACTTTTAAAATTACAAAGACATTGAAAACAATTCAAAATTCAGAAAATTAAACTTGCTTCGGTAAATTTGGTAATTTAACATAAAAGACAAAATTATATATATATATATTATTATATATTTATTGGAGAAAGTAAAAGGCAATAATCTTAAATGTGGTTATTTATGAGATAGGCTATTTTAAAAACTTATTTATATAAATGTCTAAATTTTTATAAATTTACAATTTTAGATTTATGCAGGTAGGATTTTAATTTAATTCTGAATTTACCATTGCATTTTCATTTATTAAGGGATTTTGATTTTTTGAAATGTAAAATTGTTATTTACATGAATTAATATCACAATCTTTTAATAAATGTGGGCCCGTAGTAATTGCCAATTCAAATTCGTTAATTCTCCCCTCCAAATCCCTCAAAAAAGATTTATTTCATCTCTCTTCCATTGGTTCCGATTTTCTTCTTCCTTCACGTCCAAGGTATCCTATTTTTTCTTCCGTTTTTCTTCTTTTATTCACTACCCAGCACAACATTCTTGTCGTCTGCTACGGTGCTACGAACACTTTCCCTTCGATTTCTGCTATGGTGCACGGTGCTACAATATTTCAAAATGGTAATATAAATTTTCTGTACTCCTCTCACATTCGCACTTGTTCTAAAAAAAACACAGTATGTTGTTTGCACGCCACTGCCAAGAAAAAAGCTGAATTCAGGTTTTTCCACTGTCGTTGAGGCCATAAACAATTATATGGTTTTATTATTTATTATGATTACACGTTAATATCACAGTTTCTTCCACTGTCACATTATTTTTGCACTTCCTATTGCCGCACTTCCATTATTATCTTGTTTTAGATTACATTTTAGCTATTCATATTTATGGGCATAAATTATGTTCATGCTGTTTCGTTATTATAAGATAGGGATTAGTACATAGATGGGTATATAATATACTTGTACTATTGAAATCTACTATTAAACATGCCTATTAAGTAGTATATAATTTTTACCCATGTAAGTAAATGTACTTTTATAAATGTCATATCGGTAGCACTTCTATTACCGTGAGCATGTTTCATGGTGGGTTTTGGAACGACAGAGATAATTACGTGTAATACAAGTGTCAGAACTAATTATGCATCAAGAAATGTCATATGCCAATTTGATGAAAGATATCATCAAATTATTGGGATATCATGATCCTGCATTATTCCAAATTCAAATTATACTTCTAGTTAAAGAAATTATACTAATAATAAGGTTTTAATACCTCAGATTCCTCCCTCTATTTCCTTTTCCCTCTTCGATCCACACTATCGAGTATTATTTCTTCTTCTATTATTTACTCAATAAGAGGTTGATCGGCACGTACCTGAATTTAACATATTAATATCCATATAATTGTTATTAAATGTCCTAAATATAAAGAATATCTATATGTATTACCGCGAAAGAAACAATTTGAGTTCCAACAACTTCATCTTCATTTGGAAACTCAACTATAGGATCACATATAGTAACTTTCGTCTTGACCTTTTCATCTTGTTCGGGTAAAATGATTATTGGCAAGTACTTCTTATAACGAGGCATATTACCGAACAAATCTTTGTAGAACGTAGACTTCAATGGCTGAGCATCCTTTTTTTTGTGTCTTCCTCAGGGCTCTCCTAAAAGCAACCCAATTTAAAACATACAATGTATTTATAACCTATATAGATATTGAAAATAATATAATGAAATTCTTGCTTACCTCTGAGCTAAGATTAACATATAAAGGGTCTTTCTTCGACTTGCTGGAAGATTGGTTAAGTAACCTATTAATTCTTCTTCTTTCTTTTAATTTTGGTAGCCCTTTGCACTTGACCATGTTAACGTAATTCAACTAATATATATCCACCTAAAACATGTAAAATAGTAAAGGCTCATTACAGGACAAACAATCCTAGCTGAAAGCCAATATGAAGTTCTATAAGTCATGGTATAAAGTATAACATATTTAATATATAATATATCTGATATAATATAGACTAAACCTTATGAGATATAAAATTTATCCGTATGTATTGATGTAAATCATTAACGGTATATATCCAATAGATTTTTAACTTTAAATCACCGTTTGTATATATCGAGATACATAAATCTTGAGATATAATACTTATCTAAACATTATATATCCCCACACATACGTTACTCAGAACAAACGAATAAAGAAAAATATACTCGTATATACCAATGTAATACCGAAAGTCCTCTGAGATATATTATATATCCTAATACATTTTCCATGGAAATTGTTTCACTGGTATATATGGAGATACTTTAATCTAGATATATATTATAAATCCTAATACATTTTCCATGG